TCTATTTTCTAAATTGGTTGTGACATTTTAAAAATTATACCCTTTACCCGAACAATATAGTGATTCTTCTTTGCTCTATTTTTATTTATAGTTATTGGGAATCTTACTTCTTACTAACATTATAAATGCGAAAGTTTAGATGGATGGATGGATGGATGTTTTTTAGCGTTTGTAGCCTAAACGGCTGAACGGATCTCCATGAAATTTGCCACAGGTTTAGAGCATAGTCTGGAAGAACACATAGGCTACTTTTTATACCTGGAATAGTTGGTTCCCGTGGGATTCATTAATTTAGTTTTTTAATGTTTAGTCGATCATTCTGCAACGGTTCAACATATCTTATTGAAATTTGGCACAGATATAAAACAAAGTCTGGAGTACACATGGGATAAGCTTCATCCCCGAGAAATGTCCGGTTCCCGAGGGATACGTAGCTTTTTGTAATTTTTATAGTTTGTTTTCTAATACCACGCGTACGAAGTCGGGGGCAACAGCTCGTTAATTATATATAAAAGGAAGGTTTCATTATAACTAAATGATTGCAATAAAAGCCATAAATGTAATAAAGACGTTTATTTTTTTATAAAAATGCGCATTCCAGTTGGTACAAAGATTATTAAAAAGTAGACATTCATCCGAAAGCTAACAGAGAGACACATGAGGCTTATTAGCATCTTATAAACCTATCAAGCTTTATAAAGATAATAGACAATACAAATTCAAAGCTCGATACGAAAACATTTTTGAAAAAAATCATTACAACTGGTCTATTATACAAAATTTGAAACAAGTACAAAAATGTTTAGAGAAATTGAGAAATACATATGTTTTCTTTTCAAAAATAATTTGTAATATTTAAGTAAATAAGATTATAAAATGATTTGGGATTCGTTAGAAATAATGCTAGAAGTTATTTATAATAATTAAAAATGTAAATTGTTGATACAGCGTGTATAATTTAAATAAATAACATAAAATGTCATTTTTGTAAACACGATCAACATGTGTACAAATAAAATATTACTTATAATTATTGTAGAATAACTGCTAAAGGAAAACCCGTTAAGATCAGAAAACATCGAATAAACTAACTTATACTATGTAATAACGAATGTTCGTTAATAACAGATATATTTGATGTTTTATAAAAAACACCTAACTGAAACACCCTATATAAGAGTGCGGAGATCTGTATTCCAGTAAAATATAAATTAAAATAAATTGTTGTCATTATCCCGGTTAAAATATGAATTATAATTAAAAAATAAATTATTTACAAACCTAAAAATAATTTATTTACAAAACTAATTCTTAATTGTGATTTTTATTTTAACTTTAAAAAGCTTTGATGTAACATAAAGCTCTGACTATACCACTTTGATAAGCTTTAAAAGATTTTTTGTGATAATGTTGAAATTTCGTGTTGTCAATTCAGTTTAGTGTTATGTATCATTAAATTTTAGTCATAATGTTTATCCCTACTTACCTTTCGAAGCACGATCACAAAGGTTTTATAATAAATCTAAGTTGTATTATTTTTAATACGCTTTCATTCTAAGAGCGTACGCACACCTGAAACTGCTATCGCACAACTGTTTAGTCGCGCTTTGATCCCCATGAGCTTAGGAGGTGTGCACACGACTCGATTTTTAGTTGGATTAAGTGCAAAACAATTGACAATCACAACAGTTGTGCGATAGCTTTTCAAAGTCTTGCGCCCGCTCTGATAAGACATTGAATCTAAGATCAGGGAAAAATACTACTATTATTTTTGTATCTAAATCAACAGTCATACGAATGGGAACTATTAAATGCTTAATGTTTGTGACATTTCTATAGATTCTAAAACGTTACAATACTATTTACATAACTTATATTAAATACCCTCATGTAAGTATCGGGATACACTAGAAGGCACGCATTGTACCTGATGAAGCGAGGTGTATTAACTTGTATAGAAACCTTATAAACTAATTAATTTAGACCGTGAACACACCAAGCGCATTCACATTCCATTAATTGCTAACGAAGGCGTGGTTGCAGGAAATAGTTAAGTTAATTTCACATCCAAACCAAAGCTTACAGTGTCTTTTTTGATAATGCGTTTGGTGTGAACATAGCCTTATGTTAAACTAAAGAGACAGTAAAGCTGGTTACACACTTAAGTATTTTAAAATGATAATTCGTCTTTTGGCAGTTTCGAATATGATTCGCGCTCACAATCACACAAGCTTTATTCATCCAATTTCCAAATAATATTATAACTGCGTGAGGCAAAGTGAAGCTTCTTGCTTTAGACGGCTGAATTCTTGCCAATGATCGTTCCACTTGTAGCGTAAACTCGACGGCCGTCGAATTCGACTGAAGAATTTCTCTTTATTGAATCATCGCCCGTATCCTTTAGTGGCTCCTTCTCATCTCTGTACAATGTTATAGTTCAATTAATAGTGCGCTAAAAGAACGCTCTGTCCAAGATAAAAAGTTGACAAAATTATACTAAATACTAAAATAGGTTTAAATAGTAAAACTATAATAAATTAAGTGTTAATCTATATTGTATTATTATCTTGGTTATCTTGGAAAGAACGCAATATATAAAAATCAATAAATGTACTACGAGTGCGCAATAACAGGACACCTGTGTGGTTTTATTCACACCTCATTGGCATTTTTAAACACACAAAAATGCTACCAGACTAAGGTCGCCTGTTATTGTACACGGGTATTAAAAATGTTTTAGAGACAGAATTATTAATGCGCGCAAATAAAACTATACAATTTATGCACAAATAAATCACAAATAATATTTTACTTTTAATTTTAATGATACTGTTGTTACATGCAAAAAAATAATATTTTCAAATCTCGCAAAAGGATTACTCAATTAATACAAGACTGATAACTATGTAAATATACAAACGTAAAATAAAATACAGAACAAAGCAAATTTACAGTTTTTACAAAATTTTATAACTACACATACAAGCAAAACTAATGCAAAATAAATCAAGCAACAATGCAGGAAAGTACCGCAAAAAATATTTAATTAAATGACAATGAATCTTACACTGGTGTGGTCGGGACATAGCTATAAAACGCCGCGTGGAGGAAAAAAAATACTTATATTAATAAAATGTGCTAACATGGAGGTGAAATATCTTACATATATATACAGTTAAAAACAATAAAGTAGGAGAAATGTTACATTGCCGTAAGAGATGTTCCGGGCAATTTAACACGTTTCACAAACGAAATTGTCTGGCGGAAGACAGCTTGTGGTACAATTTAATATGATTTAAACGTTAATTTTGTAAAGACTAGGCAATTTAAACAGCTATCATACGATACCAAAACAAACCGGCAATATTTACAGAGGCTGTGGCGTAAAGCTTCGTTCAATTCAATATTTACAAACGATAGGCCTTCGTGAAAAGTCACGTTTGAAAGTTTTTTTTTTCAATATAAATCAGGGAAATCTATGTATGTACTTGTTATGTAATTTGACGTTTAACAAGATCTAAGACAGATTTTAGTTCTTTGAATAAAACAAAATTACTAAAATACTTGGCACAAAACGAAAACAAATATATTTTGAAAAAAATATGCTCTGGTTAAGACCATTTACATTCAACAATCATTACATTATAGTGTTCATTATTTTTTACTTCTTATTTTTGTACTCGAATTGTAAAAAATAAATATTTACACAGTGACATTTAGGATTAAGGTTATTTCTATGAACGTGAACTTTCACACAGAGGCAGTATCGTATACAAAAAGCATGCAGGCAATTGTTTGATGTAATGCCTTACGTCGGTGTCGGTACGAGCTTGAGGGGCGGCGGCAGGGGCGCGGGGGAGGGCGGCGCGCGCGGCTTCGTACTGCAATAAGGGAGCGGGAAGCGCCAACCGTACAGACTAGCGGGCAGAAACATCTCTCATCGACACTAACACAAAGGAACTCGGAGAAGGGAAACAGGACATAAATGAAAACAAGAAAGGGATCAAAACAAGAATAAAAGGAAACATTGATAAAGTACAAGAACAATAACAATTTAAAGATGTCGATGAACATAAAATGATTGATAGAAACGATAGTATAAGTGTTCATGATACTGACCTTCCTAATTTCGCTTCATCCTCTTTGTGCTTCTTGGCACGTTTGCCGCAAATAGTGGCAATGACTCCTTGCCGTCTAAAGCAGAAGAGTAAGAGATCCACAATAACCAGACAGATGAACACACCAGCTAATGCCACTCCAATAATCATTCCACTTGACAGAAGTTGGGGCGGGGCAAATCCAGAACGTTCCACACCTGTTGAATTAAGAATTTGTTAGAATGTAGAAGACATTTATAAGGATAATGCAAGCGAGAATAGTAAACAATCAAAATGATTAACAAGAAGATGAATCAAAAATGTTTGATAGAATAGAAAATGTTGATGTTTACTATTCCTTAAAATGTTAGTTTAATGCATCATAGTTACTGATGTTAGATTAATGGAAGTGATTGTCGAAATAACCATATCGACGCCAGTGCTAGTGTTATGCGAGTGATTGTTTCATAGAAAAATTGCAGTACCTTACTAAGCGTTACATACAATCGTGACAATAAATTGTATGAACAGAGAGTGCTTTCAATTCAATAAAACGTGCACCCAATCACCGATAGAAAATTAGAGTAGGTGTAAATAAAGGGGAGTACAAGAATTTGCTTTGTATAGAAAGCTCTCCGTCGCTGTGAAATGGGGTTTGAATGAAACTGAAATTATGATAAATGATGATAGCGAAAGTCTATTAAGTCTATGATGCACGAAATGTGAGCCTTAAAGTAAGAAATAATCAGAGGAAAGAAAAGTTGTCAAGATGCGAACATTCCAAATAATTTGACTGAATGCAAAATAAACATTTCAAACCCCATGACAAAATCATTTCGTTTTATAAATAAGCGTATCTGGACATCTACAATACAATTACAATTTTAAAATAAACTAAGTATTTAAAATAAAGTTTGGTTCCTATAACCATCACCTTAGTTATTAAAATTCTAGCCTATAACTATTGGAATTATATGCAACTTGGATTATTCGCTAGCAAAAAGATGACATCAGGTGTTTTATTAATCTTTGGCGCTGTAATAATCCAAATCACAAAACATCTACAATGATCTATAAAAGTATCTTAATTGAAACAACCAAATCACGTTTCTTTTCCGCCAATTCTATTTGATTTATAGAAAACTCCGTCAATCAAACTAATTTTTAACTGTTTATTTGGCAGTTTCGAATATTATCAAAATATCATTCATAATAAAAGATGCTTTCGACTACATATAAAGGAACCAAATATACATATAATAAATACACAATTATGTGATGTCACCTACAATGACATGTCTAAACACCAATTAAAAATTGAATACAAGAATTTTTAAAATGATGCATTTTGTATGCAACATTGACCATGCTAGATGGTACAAAGGTTATTGTGATGTGATGAGGGGACACAAACCAGCAAGAGGGTCATGCAATATTAATTAATTCATTCCGAAAGATATTCGAATAGCAGGTTATAGTCTACGGAACATATTAATATAAAATATATTTACCTAATATCAGTCAGGGCGACACAAACACACTTTTCAAAAAAAGGGACTTTGGATTGGTCTCTTGACAAGCATCTTGACAGCTTTCTTTTTGGACTTTATACATATCGTATAGGATTATCTATTTTTAGTTAGAAAATTTACACAGTTCCGGGATTGGCGCAAGGGTCTAATAGGTTAAAATGGATGAAGAGCATTAGTTTAATGGAATGGTGTACATTAATTTGCTAATGCTGTCTTCATTCATTTTATGGGACGTTAACTCATTAAATAACTGGATTCGTTTTAGAAACATTTATTTTTCACATTGGTCATTTCCCTGATCAATTTCACAATTTCATAATTTCCATTGAGCTCGTCTTATTTTTAGATGTTTTTATCAGGCTTAATAATGACTTCTTTAATGGTAAAAATCATTCATCTGGACGATTTTCGAAATAAGCTAGTAAAGTTTAATCTAAGTCTTATTAAAGGAATAAAATAGTCCTCAAAAATTCGTACACAAGTGTGGCTACCTACTTTAAGATGACAATACATGTTGTGTATTGATTGACATTAATACTAGACGCGATCAAACATTTTGGCAGTGTATTCATACCGATTATCTACTTACAAATGTAACATATCTATAATAATAGTTTTCAGGGTTCATTAGAAGAGATCCTAATAGAAGTTATTGATTTTTACCAATTCTAAAATTAATTAATAATTTTGTTTAGAGCATAAGGTGCATCATTAAATGATAAATTCTCGTTCATAACACAAGCAATATCCATACTTATATTTATACATCAACAAATCGATATATCACAAATTATTCCTAATTAACAGTCGTCTTTGGACTTAATTAGTTTAAGTTGAATATTTATTGTTATAACTATTTATTTATATTACGAAATGTAAAAGCAGAAGCGTAGTTAAGATGTCCATTTTAGATGGAGCCCATTGGAAAATGCTTGTACTTCCATTTGGGTTACCTAAAAACATTACGATACGATAAAAATCTTATATTATGTCGAATAAAAATTCAAACCTATGTCAATGAAATTATAATGAACGAAGAATAAAATGAAACTTACCAGCTTTTAGAAAATAACATAACACTCAAAATAAATAACTTAGTACATTTAAAAGAATCTGAATTCAGAAATATTGAACATGCAGGTGATGTCTAAAGAACTCAAGACACTCATCGAATAGTTAAAACATTTTAAACTTACAGAATCGTAAAATGATATGAATATCGTGGTATTTTCATATATTTAGATATCGAAATGGTATATGAAAATAATGTTTTTATTAATAGTGAGAGACGGCAAGAAGTCGAAAACATTTACAATATAATTTGTACAATATGTGTGTAAAAAAATCTTATGACAAAAATTTCAAAATTAAAAACTAACACTGGATATAACTTAATTAAAAATAAGATTAAATTGTACTTTTACAAAATTAAAAAGAATACAGAAACAGATAATAGAAAGTTTACTATGAAACCAATCGAATTTATAGCGTTAATAGCAACTACGAACACTGACACAATCACAAAATCAGATCAAATAAACAAACAAATAAAAAATGGGAGATGAACAGAACTGAAACACATGAGGTGGTTGCGCTCGACGTTGTCTTCGCGTCGGTTGAGGCATAGACGTTGTAGAAGCCAGCCTTGTGAGGTTTGATATTCTCTGTGCTGTACTCACCGAGGGCAGTCTGGACATATAGTTGGGCAGGCAGGGAGTAACCCAGCACGTTGTGAGCGCGGACTTGCATTCTATAGCGGGTATCAGGATGTAGTCCCCTGATTTCGTAACTGATCGCCTCATATGATCTAAGTTCTTCAACCATACACTGTGTTTCTGAGGCCACTCGCCATTCTCCGCTCACTTTTAATACCTGGTACAAAAGAAACATAGTTAGCTACTATCGTATTTTTAATTTCTTCCATCATAGCATAAAAAAGGTAAACTTACTGGGCAATAGTTAACTTCATACATGTCGATGGGTTCGCCATTATGAGCAGGTATTTTCCATTGAAGTTCATATCTATCCGCGAATTTACCATGTATCAATGATTCCGAACTGATAGCTTCTCGCCATTTCGGTTGCTCGGGCGGGGACCTAAATCAAAATCAATGACAATTGTTATACAATTTGTATGACGATTAGGATTTAAACAGAAAAAAAATCTATGGTTTTACCTTCTTGGCATTACAACAGTTATAGGAGCACCCCATGATCCAGCACCTACTTGATTGACAGCCGCAAATCTAAAGTCATACGAAAACATCGGAGTCAGATTCTCCACGATGTAAGGCGAATTGACGGACCAGGTCCTATTCATGGATAAATTCCAATCGAAGTTGCCATTCTCCTTGTACTGAGTTGTGAAAGCTAATGTAGGTGGGCCCATGTCTTCAGCTGGTCCAACAATGTTGAAAGATACTGACGTCGCTGTTATTGTGTCTTGTTTAACCTATAATTGTATTAATATTTTATAATTTATCAACAGTTTAAATTAATTTAACAATTCATTTATGTTTAGCAAAATTTAAAAAGTCGAAATTCACCTGTAAAACTGGACCAGGCGGGAATGCTTCTCTCAACTGTATGATATGTTCTGCTTCGCCGAGTGTGTTAGTTGCAATGCATTTGTATACTCCATATAAATTCCGATCCACTGGGACCACTGTCACGTAACTGATAGGCCCGGAACCGTAAATTTTGACATGCGGGGATTCAATTAAGTCGTATTCATGGAACCTTTACAGAAATGCAAATAAGTATAAACTTTTCAATAAAATAAATATAAGAAGACATACATATTATAATTACTTACTTCCACTTGATAGTAGCATTGGGGATACTTTCGGCAATGCAGCTTATGTTGACTGGTTGGCTATTCCAGCTCCAAACAGGAACGTTAGACATGTGCTCAAATGTTGGTTTGAACTGAACAGTCAGATGGCCATTCTTTCTTGCTTCTCCACCTATAGATTACAAGGAGTATTTTAATTAATATAAAATAAAGTTTCATATTTCCGAAAAACGACTACGTAGTAAGTAAATAATACCTTCATTTTCAGCGATACATTCGTATAAGCCATCGTCAGTTCTGTTTAATCTCGCGATTGAAATAACCGCAGAGGACTGCATCTGATCGCCAGTCTGTCGGCTGGTGCTCTCAACTATAATCCTGGATCAAACAACATTCGCTTTAAAATTAAATGTACTGATTTAATAGCAAACAACTTTTGGCATAGTAAAAGTACACGTATTAATAGTTCTTGTTTTATTTAAAACACAGTAGTTCCTTACCGTCCTTCCTCATTAGGTCCATTCAAGAACGGATCACTGTTGCTACGTTTACGGAAACTGATTCGGGGAGCGGGTCTACCCGTGGCTTTGCATTCCAATCTCCCATCAGTCTTTTCAGCTGCTGTTGTATTAAATAGCTCAAATATCTTCGGTGGTACCAACACTTCTACTTCAATTTCAGTCTCATTTTGTCCTGCTTGATTAACCGCACTACAAATGTATTTGCCGTAATCACCCGCTTCTACTCTATCGATCGTTAGTAGACCGGTGTTATCGTTTACACTATATCTCGAAGTCGTTGCCAGATTCTATAACAATCAATTTTAGTATTTATTACAATGACATAAAGATCAAATGAATGCTAAGTTATATGTTGGTTTGATGCTACCTCTCGTGTATTTGCTTTTATCCAACTATATGTTGGCGGAGGTTTTCCCCTTGCCTTGCATGTAATCGCTGCCGATTCACCTTCTTTTATTTCCACTCTTGGTTCACGTTCTTCCATTTCCGGAGCAGTGTATACCTAAAAAAATAAATTATTTAGAGATTATATCTTTGGTAAGCAATATTTGTTAATTAGGTATTTCGATATTTACCTCTAATTTGATATTCCTTTCAGCGAGTTCTCCGGTTTGTATTACAACCGCACGGCAAGTGTATGTACCGTCATCACTTTCCTCGACGTTTTTAATCAACAATCCGTTAGCGTGAATAACATACCTGTCAGATGTAACAATCTGAAATAACACAATGTAATGAGTTAGTTAATACATTTGTATCGTAATTATTACTTGTACAAAAATAAACTCACAGTGGTTCCCTCTTTAAACCAATCGACTGATGGTGCAGGCTCCGCAGTGACTTCGCACATGATTTTAAAATCTTTACCTTTGGTAGCAAATTGATTTTCATTTGCATTTACCCAGGTGATTGCAACTGAAAATAACAACATTTTATTTTCCTCCATTCGTAGTAATCTGATGGCAATTGTAAATTCAGTATATCCATACCGAAAGTATCCAGGACAACGCTAGCGCTGAGCGGCATATTGGTGTAGGTCGCAACACAAGTGTAATTGCCTGCCATTGCCTGACTGATGGACGAGATGTAGAGCAGTTGCGACTGTTTAGCCGGCATCGCTTCCGTGTAGATCTCCGGCCGGGTACCAGGTCTGGTTACGATTGAAACAATAAAGTCTTACACAATTTAAAACAATTGAATGTCCTTATTATACCATGCTTTGTATTAGGTTGTGTAAACAGATGACAGAGGTATTCATGGTAGTCTATGATCGCCATAAAGTTTCATTATCCATACGATGATTGTTATACTAATACTCACGCAGCTTCATTGATAACAAATCCTTTGGGGTCCTTCCACTGTGGTTGCGTGACGAGTGCGGGGTCTTGCGTCTCAGCCTGGCAAGTCAGCACCACTGACTTGCCCACGGCGACCGTCTGCTGCTTTTGCATCGGGTATATCCTTAGGATTTGCGATGAACATCCTGCAAAGATAAGAGAGAATTAGGAATAATTAATGATCTTGCAAAATAAAAAGTTTTTTTTCTTTTTGACAAACAATTAGAAGATCTGTGTGTAAATTACAGTAATTCTTTTTTTAACACGTTTTCCAATACGATGTTTGAGTTTGAAGCGGGGGTCGAATTGATAATTAACGACGGTACAAATTGTAAGTTTTATCACTGCAGATATTAACACGGTAAAAGCTAAACAAAAGGCATTTGGCAGCGTAGCTCACAGGCGCTACGCAACTCTTTAATTAAGTTTACCACAATTTATCCTGTAGAACGTGACTAAACTGTAACGCGTTTACGTCGCCTTTTTACATTGGAGTCTTGTAATTTAGTTAAAATTACGTTTTATACAGATTTAACTAGATCCGGATTTAAGTTTATCAATTCTATTCATATGAAAATAAACATATTCTAGGTTTGAGTTGGTATACAGTTAACAAAAAATGTTTATTGTAAATAGAAAACAAGATATGCAGCTCAGTAAGAAATCCAGGCGCAGTAAGTGTCAAGAACTTCTTTTATTTCTTAAGATTGCATCATAAGTATGTATATTTGTGTTAGTGTAATGTAAGTAGGATGTTTTCAGTGCTAGTAAAGGACAAGCGTAACTAGTCCCACTGCAACTCGTAGACAAACAGTAGCTAGCTCACGTCCGTTTGTCCCTAATGGGTTTGTTAGAAGTCGACATAACTTCCTGTACTCATTTCTCAAGTGCTTACTTAGACTAATGTAACATGGTAATCTCTGAGGTTTCGTAATGAATTTATAATAATGTGACTAAAAATTAATTCGTAGTCCCATAAATAGCTACTATAGCGTAAGACCGAATCAAAATATTGATAAGTTTGCCTTTGAAAGAAATACAAAATTTAATTTGACTAGAACTTAAACTATTTCTATAGTAGAGTAGAAAATGTTAAAATTTCATAATGATAATGTTACTCGAACGGTCAGTTTTCAACATTGTATATTTATATGGGTAGATAAGTATTCGTGTCGCGTCTGCAAGGTAACTCGAGCTCTCCGAGTCTATTCACGCGCGCGTATCTCTTTTTACAGGGATTTTGAGGCTTCAGACCGCCGCTTGAATAAGGATCACTCTTTTGAATCTTGTTAGAGCATAAATTACTTTTTCCTTTTTACAAAATGTTGAATTTTACTAAAAATTTGAAATTCCTAAAAAAATAATAAAACGAAATCATACTTAACCTTTTGTAGGATAGGAATTTTACAAGTAATCAGCTTTGACACCTTAACATCCATATAACTGGAGTAAAATCTTTGAGTTAGGAACCAAGTACATTTTTTCTAATTTTAGTACGAAAAAAAGTTAAATAGAACTGTTACTACCAATAAAACCGTACTGTGTATTTACAGTATTATTGCATTTTTTATAATCAAGACGCTTGTACTTGTCTCACGATCTGAGTAAATTTTTTACAAAGTTTTAAGAATGCAGGCCGCGTCACCGCACCCTTCTCTACCCTCCGTCGGCATCTGCGTCACTTGCATTTTATACGCAACAATGTGGCCTATAACTTTTTTACTTTATTTCGTAAAAATGTGAAGTACGCGTGGAGAGTTATAAACATTAATCTCAAATGGATGCTGGTAAATGTTTGGACAGACTAGTTGTTTTACATCGAGAGTTTGTTTCGATTAGCTAAGTAAAATATGTTATGAATACTTTTGCGTTGATTATTCCTTGTTCAATTGTATCATTCTAAATGTTTTCAGGTTGACAGAAAATACGTAGTTATTAGTATATTTGTGTATGCTAAGAACAAAGCAATAGATTAGAATTTAAGATTGTGACATGTTTATGTTGACTGGGAATCTTTATTAAAATACTCACCCCACACATTCTGCGAGACACCTACAAAAATAACAACCCGACCGGTACGTAATACGTACGTTCATTAAAATTTATGTTTACTGTAGGGTATACCAAATATTTAACTGTTAAAAATTCTAGTTAAATAAGTTTTATATACAAGTTTTAAGTAATTTTGTGTTTGCTGTTATTTAATAATGAAGCGTGAATATGATGCTATAACAATAATAAATTCTCATGGGTAATTATTGTAACGATTAAGAAGGACGAATGAGACAATAAAAGGCATGAGATAACTAAATAGATATAGAAATAAAAACGATAGACGCTGTATTTTAAATTCCACTGAATTCCTTTCGTTGTTTTAAATTGGACATATCAATTAAATTGTAAACAGATATGAATAAAAGGCAAACTAAACTTGCCTTTGAGACAAAAGTAAATTTAGAAGTATTTCTGGAACCACCGATATTACATTGCTACGAACAAGGGGAGAGGAGAATAGGGATGAATTCACCATTGAGGGGACAAGTGAAATAACCGAGCGGTGGATTAAAGGGTTTGTGAAAATTTGTACGCTTTATAACGGGTCCACATCCCCATGCGGTTTTGAATTACCAATTACTTTCATTTAGTTTCTAACAAGGACTTCCGAAGGATTTACGAACACTTGTCACATATACAAAGACGTATTGTTTTCTAAACAAGCTTATTGTTACAATTAACTATAACTTGTAACAAATAGAACAAAGAACAGTTTTAACATATTTCATATTTGAAACGTGATATACATGTTTAAGTTAAGGAATTGTTTGTACAACTCGAAACGGCTTCGATATCTATACTAATATAATAAAGCGTCAACACTACTTCCCGGCGTAGGATGTCAAAAATCTCAGCATATTTTTTAATAATCCTTTCTTTTATCAAAAGCCCTACAATAAGACACGTTTTAGGTGATATATTTGCACGCTAATAAACTTAGGGGTAAATAAATTGAAGAAAAAAACCTTAATGTAGAAAAAGAACCATCAAATACAAACTACCAATATTAAGAAGGCAAGGTTATTAAGGTAACAGTAATTTTTACATTTTCAATTGAGAATTTGACATATGTAAACGAAAGAATAAAGATTTTATAATTTCAAGGCGGTGAAGCAGCATGGAACAGCTAGTCTTTACTAAAATGTAACATATGTATTGTGTTGAGACGGAACTCACAAATAGTGAAGTTTATATTGTAGTACTAAGGTTTATCGATTTTGCCTTAACTGTTTGTTTTTCGTCAATTCCTAAAAACCTTTCTAAATGAATAGATTTGATATTTTACTCATAGACATTAGCAGTAAATATTTATTTCTTCGTATAAAATAACCTTTCTGCCTGATCCGTATTTGTAACTAAATGAAACCCTAAAAGTTATAGTACATTTTTACCCTTACGGCGTTCAATCTCACCTTTGACTTTTCCAACAATGAGTAAATCGTAATACGGTAAAATGAAACGAACCGGAACAGTTTCGGGTCTAGTGGAGACGTCCCTAGCCCCGTTCCGTTGGAAATCAGTCCACTGAGCGATCAAACATACAAAACAAGTACTATATAGTGCTGCGTAGGGTTGCCACTGTGATTAATTGCTTAGACATTATTTTCTAATTAAGGCCCCCCTTCCCGCGTTCTTCCCTGAGGGCGTTTTTGTCTTTGGGGAAAAGATCTTTAAGATCAAGTGAAGACGAAAATGCGAAAATCTGTTCAATAAACCCACAACGATGATGATGCTGTATTTTCAGACATTTTATGAAATTAAAATAAAATTTTCGTAATTGATATCTATTTACCAGAACTGTGTTGATTATAAGCTTTTATCTTAACCACCTTATAGACAAATTTACTTATAATGTTTTTATTTCATTCAAAATTATTACATTTTAATCTCACAAAACCTTTAACTTCTAGAATTCGGGGTGACACAAGACGTTACGAAAATTTCCTAATTGAGGGAAATGAGATAAATTACTCCGTCTGTTTATTCGAGGGGCGGATGTCTGCGGAGATGGCACGGCGCTCTGTAATGCATTTATTTTATATGACTCACGTCCAAAGCATACGTAGATTTAATTATTTAAAGCTATGCTTATTTTGGGCTTTAATACAAAATTCATACACCCACACATAGGCATTTCGTATATTACACATGTTAGAAATATTATAACAAGTTCAATGACCTTTCTACATTAATACATTATTTACTAATATTATAAGTGCATCTAGCAAATATTGGTGTGAACGTAACATAAACTTCTAAAAGCCAATCAAAACAAACGATCCATTCGAAGTTTCTAAGTGGATGTTGCAATAAACAAGACCTAACCGTAACAGTAACAATACATTACTCGCTCTCTCGTAACCAGGTGTTTAAGTTCTTAGGATAACCATTAATGGACCTATTACAGGTAATGAAAACCATTACACGAGTAACGATAAATTTTCATTCGCGGACTTCGTTTCTATCCCGACTCCCCCTGTTTCCTCGCTTTCATTATCAGTTTAACGGAAGGGACCCCAGGCAAAAAAAGCAAAAAAACTCTATCCAAAATTCAACTAAGTACAGGGGCGTAACGAAGTGAACACTTAAAACAATAGCCAAATACAAGGGTCGGTCTTCAGCACTTCCAATGCTTACTGGAGAACACTTAATACACGCTGAATTCGAGAATTTTTATGGGGAACGCTCCAGCACGGTTTATTGCTTACGATATTTATGGTATCTCGTGGGAGCAGTGAACGGTTGAAATTTTAAAAACAATTCTAGTTTCATACATTGTCTATGTAATATAAAAGAAACTACACCCTTTTATCAAGGTGACACTACGCAAACAAAACTCTTATCTCTTTTTACTTCAAAAGGGTTAGACAAAGCGATCGTTATCCGTCAACAAACTCATTAAGATTGAAAATATGACGGGACAGGTGTTTTTTTTACAAGTGAGGCATTTCATTATAATGTAGTGACGTTTCTTATTAAATTGTGATTGATGTTTTATACAATCTACTCAAATTGCAAGTGCATTGCACAATACAACCAAGAATCCTACCTGGATTTAACATTTTGTTCTGTTTGATTCCGAATTTTGTCC